CCGGCCCATGTGCGGGCTGGGACGCTACCTGTTTTCTTTCTTTTTTCCTTTTTTCAATAATTCCAGGAGGGGGGTGACGCTACGCGTTCGCGGTAGAAATTCAAAAAGGATCTGCCACCTTACTGACCATTGGATTGACACATTAATGATCATCTGATCTACCAACGTAACGTAAGCAGCCACCCTTTGCAACAAGGGTGGTGTTTATGCAACAGTCTGCTTGCTGCAATTACTCGAGCGTGTATTTTTTTATTTTTTGCAACATATATCTTATTGTAGAATTTTTTGCAATAGAGATCTTGTTGCAGAAATTTTAAAGATCACCCGTGGCTGTGTTTTTTTTCTGCAAAAGAGATCTTGCTTCATAATTTTTTCGCAACAAAGATTTTGTTGCAGAATTTGCAACAAGAGCTTTGTTTCAGAAACACGCTGACTATTGCAACAAGAGCTTTGTTTCAGAAACACGCTGACTATTGCAACAAGAGCCTTATTCAGAAACATGCTCTGCCGAAACCGTTGTTCACCGCGAGCTTCGCCGGATGGTGGTGAGCGAGGATTGGCGCCGCCCGTCCCCACCTTTGCGCCGCCGCCGGCAAGCACTGTCCTCCGGCCAAAGTCATCTCGCCACCATCCGCCTCTTCCTCATGTTTTTCTTCATCTCTCTTTATCTCTCGCCGCAGGAGCGCCGTTCGCCGGTGTCGTCGCGGTCCTTGCTATGAAGCTCGCCGTCAACCCTGCCAGACCTCACCGAGGCGAGCTCCCGCCGCTCCCAGGAGTCCCCACCTCATGTCTGCGGGTCATCCTCGTCGGATCCAGCGAGACTCGATTGGAATCCTTGACGTCGTCGCGCTCCTAGCCACACGAGTCTCCACCGCAGCGGCTCCCGGACATCCCTGCCTCCTGCCTGCGCGCCATCCTCATCGGATCCGGCGAGATTCCTCGCCGCCATCGCCCTCCCGACCGCACGAGTCACCGCCGTTGCAAAAAGTTAGGCAGTTGCAAAACTCTCTTTTCGAAACAAAGGCTCAGTTGCATAAACACATGAACACAGGGGTGCTCTCGTCCATCTGATCAACAGAGGATCTGACGAACACGAGCTGGTGGACGCGCCTGCGCGATCAACCGGCTGAAGGTAAGCTTTTCCCTCGGGAATATAAAAAAAGTTGCTAATTTTAATAAAACTATCATGATTTCAAAACAAATATTCATGATTACAA